AGGTTTAATCTAATCATCAAAAGTGTTTTAGGTTGCTAGAAAAGGCATAGATAGGCGATTTGTCCCTAGCCAGCGAGAGTAGATGTTAGGGCAATTCGTGAACCAATTGAACCTGACCTTAATGCTTGTCATCAGTGTCTAATCCAAACGATAGTTTAGGTATTAGGATTGTTTGATAAATTGATAGACACCACGACAGCGGGTTTATTTAACCTTGTTGTTCAAGTTCTAGATTGGCTCTTATTGCTTTCCTGAATAGTTGTGTATTTCATGATCCTAAGTATCCCAATGAATCATCCTAAACCTAGCTCTTTTATAATCTGAAACCAAACCAACTTGTTACTTGCTTTTTACGTTTTCTTTATTTTAAAACCCCATATTGTTTTAGCTTAATTCTGATCCTATAAAAATAAAGTGTAAAATTTGGTCTCTGTGGATTCGATCCTCAAGTACTACACTGAACCTCTTATTTGAGAGAGTAGCTTGAAGGTTAATTTGAGCATATCACAAGCTCTTCAAGTACTCACTTGTTAGAGAAGCTGCATATTGGCTTAAGCAGTTACCACCAAGATCTCTTACATCCTGGATTGACATCAAGAATGCCTTCCTGGGAAATTTTTTTGATGATGTGCAAGCTGAAGATTTGATGAGCAGGATTGCTACTCTCACACAAGAGCATGTAGAGTCTTTCAAGAGCTCCTGGACCAGATTCAAATCCTACCAGCGTGATTATCCACACCATGGATTTAATGAAGTGCAACTGTTAAGCACTTTCTTTAGAGGTATTGATCAGCACTACCAGATGGCCCTAGACACAACTAGTGAGGGTAAATTCGTCACCAGAAGAGTCTACAAAGCTTATTAAAAATCTGGCATCCAGAACAACACTAAGAACACTAACTATGAGAGGAAGAAATCGGTCCCATCACTCAGCAGGGATCAGATTGATGATGTTAGGGCAAGGCTGGATGATGTCCATAAACTACTGAAGAAGCAAGTTAGTTTTGTGGAGGAAGCTAGAGATGCTGAAAGTGAAAAAGAAGATGTGAATTACATTGGTGGAAATGGTTTCCAAAGATCTGGGAATCAAATCTACATCAGTAACTCATATGGCAATAGTCAAAAGGGTAACTACAACCAGGATTCACAGCAAAAGAGGCCCTACAACAACAACAATACCTATGGATCTTCTTACTTCCAGAAACCACCTCCAGAGACTCAGAAGAGAAAGCTAGAAGCAATAGTTTACAGAGTACTTGAGGGACAACAACAGATGACTGAGGACTTCAATGGAAAGATAGATTCTTTGTATCTTAATCTGAACACCAAGTTTGAAAACCTCAAAACCCATGTGAAGAATTTGGAGAATCAGGTAGTCCAGCTAAGTGAGACAATTATTAGAGTGAAAAAAGAAGCTAGACAGAAGCAGTATGCAGGTTCACAATGTCCTAGTTCCAGTAGACTTCCATGTGATGGATATCAAGACATATTGAAACTCTCCCTTCTACTTGGAAGAGCTTTCATGGCAATAGTGGGAGATATCTGTGACATGACAACAAACATGTTGTATCTCTCTCTGATTGATCACAATAATTATTATGAGCATGTTAAAGTTAAGAGTAGACTTACTCTCATTGAATTGGGTAATGATGCAGGACTCATAGCTACATGCTTCTGTGATTATGAGCCAAATGTGGAGTCAGACGATGGAGCATCGATCGACACCCGGCCCATATCATCGATCGACACCCAGCCCATATTATCGATCGACAGTCCTGCAGTTCAACAATTGATCGATACTCACCCTTCATAATCGATCGACACTCAAAATCCAGCAGTTTGTGTAAATGAAGAGTTTATTGCTTTGAAACCTGGAAAGGCACGACCAACTTCTATCCGAAAGATTTCCACCCACTTTTCTTCTTGGATCTCTAGGCCACTAAATATCTCAGCAGTAGCTTCATTAATTGTTATCTCCATCTTGGTTCCCTGCATAAATAAAGTTTAAATATTTAGTTTTTAGTTTGGATTCTTGCATGTTATTAGATACTTGAGAGATGGTGATTTTACACTTACAACTTTATATGCTAGGATATAAATCAGTTGGGTCCTCTGTCGGTAACATATGAATAAAACGAGTGGATCCTGAGTATTTTCACTCTGAAACGCCAAGTCGTGATCCTCTCGTTAAGTGTAACCTCACCAAGCATATTGTAGTTTGACATATTTGAGAGATGATGAGTTGTTTCTTTGCATTTCTTTTTGGTGATTTTTGCAGAGAGAATCTAGTCGGAGAGGGGTTTCGTGAAAGAGACGATTTTGTGGGATAAATTAGTGCCATTACAGACAAATGAATCAGTTAAATTTTTACTAACTTAATTATACTATTCAAATATAGTGATGATTATCTCTTGGCGACATGAAGTTACTACTTGTGTCTTTTCAATGCATCCATCAAATCAGACTTAAATAGAAGAATTACTACATGTAGTTGGGTAAGAGGATCATTAAGTTAACCTTATAATTACCAATTTCATTTCTGAGGTTCTTCATTTCATCTCTTTGACTAATAACTGTTTCATTTTTCTCTTCGTTTCAGTTTAATCCAAGTTTTACTAAATTGATCTAATTATTACAATCAGCATCAGTTAATTTTTCACTTAGTTCAACAAAATTATACAATCTTAATCAATTAAAGCTTTACAAACTAATTTACAGTTATAAAATTCAAATATAATGATGTTTATCTCTTGGCAACTGTTGAACAGTTATTACTTGTGTCTTTCCAAGGCCTCCATCAAATCACACTTAAATGGAGGAGTTACTGCTTTTAGTTGGGTTAGATGATCATTATTAAGGGGTTTATCACCTTCTCCAATCACACCATTTTCATTTCTTCTCTCCGACTAATAATTACCATTATTACAGTTTAGATGCAAACATGGCAAACTTGAAGTTGGCTTCTCTCCCTTCTTCAATGCTTCATAAAATTATATTCATCGTAGCAAGAAGCAGTGTCTGGGAAGTTAGTTGTGCACAAGTTGCTTTCCCAGGGTTCAGTGTAGGTGGGAGAGAAGATTACTTTTACAAATCTGCAAATCTCATTTTCATGAAAGACTGGATAGATGTGGTTAATGCTGTTAGAACATTCAGGCTTAGGTGCTATCATTAGGTAATCCAGAGGTCATCTACTGGCGAGATATGTATGAGTTCTTCATCCTCCATTTACTTGATAAAAGAAAAGAAAAAAATTCATCTTGCTAGTAAGAGAGGATTCTTGTTGGTCAGATATGTGGATGATATGATGAACTTAGCATTTTGCGCTGATGATAGAGGACTGGTTCACAAATATCCTGCTTTTACTCTTGAATATGTTGATTGGTTGTATCACATGATCACTAGTTGGGTACTCTCAGGTCATTGGGGTTACGATAAACCAAAGATGTTTATGTCTCTGTTGCAAAGAATAGATCCCAACGTATCAAATGATTGCTCGTGCTCCAGAATAATAGAACCAGTGTTTGTAATCTCTTTAGATGGATGAAGAACACATTGTAAATGCGATTGTTGTTTCTGGCAATGTGCAACTTGGGACTTCTGCAATGAAGTTCATTTGACTGCTCGTGACTGGCCAATTGAAGATTAGTTGTGTACTTATGACATGTAATTTTTATCTCTTTTTATCCTTGCTCTTAAAACTTATGTTTGTGATAATGTGTCTTAAAATTGGTTTGTGTGCATCTTATGTAAATCTTATGTTCGTAAGATCTCAAAAAACTTGAAGTTTGTGTTAGTATAAATATGTTAAACTTGTTCTAAGTAGGTACAGTTTTGGAATTTTTTTTACTTTTGTAATTTTCCAGCTTCATGAAACTTAGAATAACTTGAAGTTCATGCTTGTTCTAAATAGGTAAATCTTCAGAAGTTTTACTTTTATAGTCAAAGTTTTACTTTTGTATAGTTATACCAAATTTTATACTTATACCAACTCTTACTAATTTTTTGGAAGTTATGGATAGAGAGATCCTAAGAGATCCAAATTCTATGGGTTCGGGTGTGGATGGTCCGTGAAATGCCTTTGGTAGGCTTGTAATTATGAAATTTTCTCTTACTATCGTAATTTTTTACTAATATTTCTCATTAAAATAAAATTTTAATTAATTCAGTTTTAGAAGAGAAATATGACAAAAAAAAATCAGTTAAAAGCTCCTCAAATTTGATTTGTTTCTATAGAAACCTAAGACTGTACTTTAAAATATCAAACCGAATCTAAATTTTCTCACTTTTTATCCTACGTGTTACGGTCTAGGGACATAATGTTCAAAAGGGGGATGAAAGAGTGTACAAGGATTAAGGGTTTTTCATGGTTTTGGATAATTTCTTCCTCTTTCATGTATTTAGCCAATAATCTCATGTTTAATATTCATGTCAATTATCTTTGATATCCACTAAATAAAAGTTTGGCATCCAATTATCCCACGATTTCAAAGCGTAGATCAAAATCTAGTCTATAATATTAAAAAATTCCCTTTTTAGGTTCTCTTTATTTTTAAGTATTTATAGTTATGCCATTCTGTTTTAATTTTAACTCAATATCATGTAAATTATTTAAAATTAGCTAGGGAAAATGGGGCATTTTATTCCCGACTTATTTGAAATCAGAAATTTTAATACTCAAGTATTGATAGCGCATAATTATTCTCCAACTAATAGTTAACCTTGCAAAATTAAGAACGAAATAGTCAACTGTTAACTTATGAATGGAAAGATAACGGGTTCCGTCAACTTTTTAACGGTTGACTATTCTAATCTTAATTTTGCAGAGTCAATGATTAGTTGACGAATAAATATGCGCATATAATAATTGAGTATTTAATTTCTGACTGAAAATACTTAAAGAATTAAAAACATCAATACATTTAAAAAAATCATAATTTAAAAATTCTCATGTTAGATATAACCAGTATACATATTTTTGAGTTCTTAGAATGATATATAAAATAATATAACTAATTATAGTTGCAATGTATTGCTAGTGTAGCTCATATTTATAAATCATATGTGGATGATTTTGAATTACTTAGACAATCATATGTGTAACACCATCGGTCCTGCAAAGAACAAGACATACGCCCTAAGGACAAGCTTAGTTGAGGTTCAGACGAACCATCACCTGAATACTCTTTAGGAGTGATCAAAAGGTCAGGTCTTACAATATATAGTTATCTCTACTTTAGAATCAATGCAAATGTAATATTTTATATGCTTTTGTTAAAAATTGAAATCATTTTCTGACATTGAGATTTAATATCTTGCATACTTATTCAAATTAAAAATCTTTTTAGTTAAGAGTTATTTAAAAAATCATCTAAAACGAATTTATAAACATGAACTGCATTAACAAGACAATGCAACTATAATTATATGTATTATTTTATAGGATATTTGCCAAAAATGGCTCAAAACTTGATTTTGAATACAAAAGTGTACCCCAAATTCAATCAAATGCAAAAGTAACCCAAAAGTCTAGTGAAATTACAAGAGCCTCTTTTTGAATAAACAAAAAACATGTATTCAGTTTTACCATTATAATCCTCTGTTAAAGAAGACTTACAAAGAAGTCAAGAAGTCTTCTCTGTGAAGACTTCTTTGTAAGTTTTCTAGTTTGAAAGATCATTTAAAATTTTTATAAAAATATTTTGATGTGTAAAATTTGAAAACATGTAATAATAAACATTTCTCAATGATGTTAATTTAATTTATCTACAATTGAATTATTTTCAACATAGATGAGTGAATGTAGATTGGTTCATAAGTCATTGTTTAGAGTTTGGTAACATATGTTATAGTATTGTTAGTATCTTTAGGGCTAGATTCTGAAATCTTACCTTCATTTTTTTTTTCAAATTGACTTATATATGTTTAGTAACTATCTAATAACTTGATTTAAATACTTTTAAATATATTTTAAGTTTAAGAAAGTTTTTTTTTTTTTTGCATAGTTATTTGATTTTAGGGTTTGGGAGACTTTCAAAAGACGTTAAAAAGACTTCTTTGAAGTCTTTTAACATCTCCCGCATAAATTTCAGTAGAATTGGCGTTCCCGCCTATATTTTAGAATAATTTAGGTTTTCCGCCTAACTCGAAGTCTTCCATACGTCTTCCAGAAGTCTTCCAGACGTCTTGCAGAAGTCTTCTCTGAGAAGTCTTCTGAGAGAAGTCTTCTGAGAGAACTCTTCTCATCTATTAGATCTTAAAAGTAATTAATAAATTTTATAAAAAATATTTTAAAAGGGAAAAAATTGACAATCATGTATTAATGAACATTTATAAATGATAGAAAATTTAGTTTTACTAAAATTGAATTACTTTTAACATAGAAGAGTGAATGTAGATTGAATCATGATATTCTTTGGTTTAGGGTTTGGTAGCATATGTTGTAGTATTGTTGGTATTTATAGGGTAAGATATTGAAATTTTTTTTTTTTTAATTTGTCATATATGTGTTTAGTGACTATAATAACTTGATTTAAACACTTTCTAATTATGCTTTAAGCTTAATGAAGTGTTTTATGCTTAGTTTTTTGATTATAGGGTCTGGAAGACTCAGAGAAAATTTCTTGGGAAGTATTCTATCATATTCCCGCTTAAATAATAGTAGAATTTAGATTTTCCGCCTAAAGCGAAGTCATCTAGAAATCTTCCAAAAGTCTTCTGTATCAAAAATATTTAACCCATATATAAAGAAAACTTATACATTCTCTTTCTTCCTCTGAAATGGCTGTAACAAATATGTAATGTTTCTCACTCTAGAAACCCTCAAACCTCTCTCTCTAATCTCTTTGAACATCAAAACACCAAACTTTATATTCATTTCTCATTTTTTCTTATGTATTCTCATTAATTTTTCTTCTTTTTGCGGGTTTTTCATTACATAGTTCTCATATTTCGCTTATTCAAATGTAGATCTCTAAATTTTGGATATGTATTTTGTGTGTGTTTGTATGTTAGATTCTAAGAAGTTATAGCTTCAACCTAATGTGACTGTATTGTTTATTATTCAAGCATAAACAAATTTACTTTTTAAGTTTTTCTTTATTTTGAAACCATTTGAATGTTTTTGAATTTTCAGGTTTTTCCAGATATGAGACAGACTTTGAAAGACTTCTCGGAAGACTCTCAGAAGACTTCTCGGGAAGTCTTCTAATGCATTTTATACTAGAAGACTTCCCATGGAGTTTTCATAAAGGCTTCTGCCCAAAGTGGTACAAATTTTGGATATGTATATTGAGTGTTTTATATATTAAATTATATAAAGTTAGAAATTCAACCTACTGTGACTGTTTTGTTTATTATTTAAGCATAAGAAAAATATTTTTGAATTGTTCTCTATTTTGAAGCCATTAAATGCTTTGGAACATGTAGATTTTTCAGATCTGGGTCATGCTTTGGAAGAATTCTCTAAAGACTCTTGGAAGACTCTCCAAAGGCATACTCGGAAGTCTTCTAATGCATTTTATTCTAGAAGACATGGGAAGTCTTCAAGAAGTCTTCCGAAGTCTTCTGCTCAAAGTGGTTATGTATTTTGTTTGTTTTATATATTAGATTCTAAAAGGTTATAGATTCAACCTAATGTGACTGTTTGTGTTATTATTGAAGCCTTAAAATTTTCTTTTGAGGTTTTCTCTGTTTTGTATCCATTTGAATGCTTTTGAATATGCAAATTTTTAAGATCTAAGTCAGACTTTAGAAGACTTTTCAAAAGACTCTTGGACGAAGTCTTCTGCCCAAAAATGGTAAAAAGAGATATGTCAAGTGAAGCCCAAGATTATCTATGTTGAGAGAATGATATCAATGAATGATATTCAGGTTTTCCAAAAGTACTTGACATTATTGAAGTTATTGACAGAACATATCAAGAAATATTTTTAATCAATTTACACACTCATATCAAAAAACGATAACACAAAATTTTTGTCAAATTTACTAAAATTAAGAGAGAAGACTTCTCAAGAAAACTTAGTCAAATTCACAAAAAAAAAACAGAAGTCTTCCTTTAACATTATTAATAACAGAAGATTTCTTGAGATAATTGCTTAAAAAATTAATGAGAGAACAAGTTAAGTCTTCATAAGTCTTCTCGGTAGACTTCACAAGAATTCTTCTCAGAAGACTTCTCATAAAGTCTTCTCCGTACACTTGACGCAAATTAAGTGGGAAATTAAAAATTTAAGATAAAAATTTTAAGGAGAAACTTAAAATAATGTCTAAGTTATAATCTTCTTGAGCAATTTCAAAGAAATCCTCATGTGTAGAACTATCACTCAAAAAGCACATTCTCGCTCCTTTGACATTATCCACCACAAAATCCCAACAATTATCTCTCAACAACCATTCTCCATAGACTATAGTTAACGGCCGAATCATCTGCAAAAAAAATAAATCAGATTAGAACACATTACCAAACACACAACATCAACTTATTAAAACAAAATCATCGGATGAAGTCTTCTCCAAGTCTTCTATGAGGAATACGTATAGAAATCATTATTAAACATCAATGTTTGTAAATTCATAATTATCACCAATTAAGTTATGAATTGAACTATGTAGTCCCAATATTGAATAATAAACATGAATTAGCAAGAAAATATTATAAATTCATTTTAATTTTGGATAAACTTGAAGCTTAATAACGATTTACGTAGAAGACTTGTTTTGAAGTCATCCGAGGAAGACTCTTCTTTTTAGGTCATTTTTGCAATTGCAAATTTACGAAGGAAGACTTCTTAAGAAGTCTACTCTACAGAAGACATCACTGGAAGTCTTCCTTTGTAAATATTGGCTTACTTTTCAAATTGATTTTTTTTCAAAATTCTCAGAAAAGACTTTCAAGGAAGTTTTCTCGGATAAACATGTTAGTTTTGATTTTGAGCGAAGTTGGTCAGAAATTTGACTTTTTGTAGAAGAATTCTATGGAAGTCTACCAGGTAAATACTTCAAAAGAAGTCTTCTATAAGTCGTCTAGAAGTCTTCTAAATGTCACAAAAAGTCTGTTGGGTTACTTTTGCAATTGACTATATTTGACTTTTCTAGAAAACATTTCTTTAGAAGTCTTTCGTAAGAAGTCTTCTCTCGTGGGCAAAGGTTTGACCAAACCCAGAATTAAACTCGAGAAGACTTCTTTAGAAGTTTTCTACAAGATGACTTCTTTAAAAGTTTTCTGCTTTTTGATAAATGTTTTACTTTTATTTTTCAATTGCAAAAGTAACCCACACAGACATCTTCCGGCATTGAGAAGACTTAGAGAAGACTTTCAGAGACTTCTATAGAAGTTTTCTCCTGGAAACCTACTAAAGAATTATTCTACAAAAAGTCAATTTTCTGACCAACTTTGGTCAAATTTAAAACTGACATGTTTATCCGAGAATAGTTCTATGGAAATTTAAAAGACTTCTAGGGAAGTCTTCTATTAAAAACACACAAACGGTCAATTGCAAAACTAACATGTGCATTGACCGTAAGACGTTTACAAGACTTCTCTAGAAGTCTTCTCAATGAAGAAGACTTCTAAAGAAGTCTTCTTCGTCAAACAGATCTGAAAGATATAATGTGGTTCGCGATTTCATACCTTAAACTCTTGAAATGACTTGTGTGGTTTCTCCAATCACCCAGAACTTCACCACAACAGCTACCTACTCCTTAATCACCAAGAATCGCGAGCTTATGAACCTTACACAATTTGTAATCAAAATCTTCAATTTTTGATGAATTTTGAGAGAAAGTGTAAGATATGTGGTTTGTTTTGATAGAAAATGAGAAAGGATGAGAAAAATATCAAAAATTTAGGGCATTAACACTCTCAATTTGGTAGTTCATGGTGGTTGAAGTATTGATGTCAATAGTAAAGTTGTAAATATTTGATAAAGATGAGGATGGTAAAGTAAAAGCATCATTTTCGAAAAAAGTAATGGCATTTTCGTGAATAACTAGAACTTCTAGGGTGAATATGACAAAACAAAATTTCAAAGAAAGCATATGTTACTTTTGTATTTGACTTGAAATTTTGAATCATTTTTGAAAGAATTTTTAAAAATCAAAAATCTTCTTCAAAAGGTAAAATCTAGTGTATTGGTTATATCTAATTTGAGAATTTTTTTAAAGAAAAGATTGATATTTTTTAATTTCTCAAGTATTTTCAATCGGTAAATTAAACACTCAAGTATTATATGCATATATTTATTCCTCAACTAATCATAGACTGCGTAAAATTATGATTCGAATAGTTAATCGTTAAAAAGTCAACGAAATCCGTTATCTTTCCGTTCATCAGTTAATGATTGACTATTTCGTTTTTAATTTTACGCGGTCAATTTTTAGTAGGGGAATAATTTTACGCCCCTAATACTTGAATACTACAACTGTCAACTTCAAATATTTCAAGTAATAAAATGCCCATTTACAATTTTCATATATTTTCTTTATATATGGATACATATAACCACATAATTAAGCTGAACAAAACATCAAAATATGTAACAATACAACCACTCCTCATAAACAATAGAACCTTAATATACTTTTCTATGTTTAACAATACGAAAAGTACATATGTTGATAGTTAGACAGTTATAAGACTATGTAATAAATCAGATAACATAGGGGAACACAAAAACACTTGCTAATCTACTCCAGGTTCCTAAGTTCAATAGAAGAGTTTTAATAGTATGAACTTCCACATCCTATTTTAACCTTATGATAAATAGTTTGGTTTGTTTTCAAGTTTTGTATAAAATATTAACTTGTCTTATGAATTTCGTATAGTACACATGGCATTCAAATTTTTTCCTATATTGCTTAACATAACAAATATAAATTATTTGTTAGTATTTAAAATATATGTTTTTAACACTTGTACATCATTATATAATATATATTACAAATGATGATAAACTACATGCAAAATGTGATATTGATGAACAACTTCACGATAATGTTATGGTGAGACTCACTACAAGAAAATGTCACATATATAACATACGAAAAATGCTATTACAAAGAAACACAACGTTATGGTGAACGCTATGTCTGCTCCCACAATCTTTTCTCTATCGCTTTATATAGCGTTTTGCAAATACTATGTTAAAGTATTTATTCGATAGCGTTCTTTTAGTTTTGAAATATTATAACTTATAATAGCAGATAATAATTACTATAATAGTGTAGTTAAAAAATTATAAATATATACAAAAAATATTTTAAATTGTATATATAGAAATTGTTTACAAAATAACCAAAAACAAAACCAAAAATCTAAACCAAAAACATAAACCTATTACTACCAAAAACATAAACCTCAAGCTAAGTCTTCCTCACTATGCTGCGAAGTTTCTCTAACTGTCCTTTGAACTTTAATTCGTAAAGACATGAGCATGATCACCATTGGGACTGCCTGCCCACTTGATTGATGGTTATAACAAAAGTTCCTTTCGGTTGGTCTCATACCTGCAAAAGATTAGAGCATTAGCACACCATAAAGATGTGACAAGTTAAGAAGGAACAAAAATATGACTAAGACTTGCCATGAACAAAAGCTATACTGCAAGTCGCAAGATATCAATAAAACTCTAACTAAACAAGGAAATTAACAGAACCACATGCTTTTACTCAGCCAGAACAAAAGGCTAGAAACATAGAACAACAAACTGAAAAACATTCATGATTACACATCCTACTCTCTAGACAAACAGAAGCACTACATCTCAAATACATTTAGCAGAAAAGAAACTAAAGGTTGGAACACAAAAAAAAACACTGAACAACATATGTGTGTTTAACGCTACGTACTAGGTTTGACGTATTATTATCACTTACATGGTCAAAAAGTGGGGACATGGAAACGGCATTTACAGGCATCCCTGAAATGTAAGTCGTGAGAAGAGTCAACGTACTCATGTCTTACAGCTGAAACAGTTAAACAAAAACAACACCAGTCTTATCAAATATATATATACAAACATAACAACTTTGAAACAACAGATACAAGGAAAAAGAAAAGAACATATGCCTTTGCAGTTTTGTCAAGTGAAGTCAAGTGAACCAGTAATGAAGTGAGAATCATCAGCTGCTTTATAGAGCTATGTGATTGTGTTCTTATGACCCACTTCTGCATCTGATTCCGTTAGCAATTTCTCAGTCTAGCAACAACTAGTATCACCATATTCATTAAAACTAATACCTTTAAAAGTGAAACAGTCTGCTTAAGAAACTTTTTAATTTACCTCAGCATCCCAGATCTTGAGAACAGTATCCTCACCCCCACTAACAATGGTTTGGTTCAATGGTCCCCAAACAGCTATGTTTATCCTCTTCCTCCCATCAAAGCTTTGAAGGACAAGCACAGAATCAGCAACCTCTGCAACAATGAAACCAAACAACTATCATTTTAGACAAAAGACTAACACTTTCTACATTTAAGTAACTTAACTTACGGTCTTAGGGATATTATTCCAGATATTACATTCTAGATGATACTGAAGACGTCTTTTATTGCAAGCGGTATGATTCCAGGAGGTTCTTGATCACCCTATGAATATTGGAACCAAATGGAAACTAAATAAATAAAGGAAAATCACTTGTTTGAATGGGAATTTGATAGCAGATAATGAAGGGGAAACATATAGAGAAAGAGATTCCCGAGTCTTACATGCATGGTATGGGTCTTTCCACTGCTTGTAACCCCATAGGCAAAAATGGTTCCTGCTTGTATGGGTCTTGCCACTGCTTGTAACACCATAGGCAAAAACGGTTCCTGAAAATTTCCAAAGCTTGGAGTCAGAAGATAAGCAAAGGAAATACTAAAACTGGAGACCAATTTTGAGCAGCTGTTTTACATACCGTTAACACCTTCCATTGCAGCCTTGATAAGGGTCTTGCAGCAACGTCATAAACGTCCATAGTATTTGCTTGTGGTCCAAAAACTTTGCCTAATATCCACAAATTTGGAAAATTATTCAGTCACCACTATAATCAATTAGAACGAGCAATGGTGGAACGAAATGATATTTTATCCACGAACAATATTTATCTACTATCCAAAAAATAGAGGTGGAAGGAAATACCAAAAGCGTAGGCAGTGAGAGGATTGTACTCATGCCTGACCATTGTATCCCCATCAGGGTACCAAGCAACTTCTTCTTCTCTTTGATACTCTATCACTGCAACTTCATATCCTTAAATACAATAAACAACATTTTTCAAATCTCGACAACAACAAAGATAACATATATATTATCAAACAATTTTTAAATCTAACCATAGAATCCTTAAACCGAGTAATGGTGAGCAAAAAGTAACGAGAAAAAGTTTACAATTGAAACCCTATCCCAAATCAACTGAAACCCTGACCCCAAATCAAAACCTTAACCAGATCGACTGAAACCGAAACCCCAAATCATCTGAAACCCTAACCATAAATCAAATGGCCCAACTAATCATCAAAACTCTAATTTACCAGAGAGGTTCAAGCCTGGGAGATAGGGCGACAACGGTCAGTGATTTCAGTGAGAGGAGACATGGACCGTGGAAGAGATAGAGATAGAAGAGCGCCGTGAGAGAGGAAGGCACACAGAGAGATAAATATTGTGGGAACCAAAATTCACCTACTGTCAAGATATCGTAAATAAGGGAAATTAGAGTAAACCCTAATTTCCCAGTGGACCCGGCTATCTGCGGAACCGCACACAAGCAACCAAGAACGCGATTAATATGAATGAGTTTAAATAGATGTTAAGAAAAATGCGATTGAGAGCAAAAGGATTCTTATTCCGAATTTGCGTAAGAACAGTACAACAAGAGTGGCCTTAGCTGCGAGAGCCGTCGGCGAGATTCCTAACCCTAGCAATCTAAGACTAAAACCCTAGTTGAGACGCAGCTCGATAACGAAAACATAAATATTCCTAAATGCTAAGTTTGGTGGTGAAAGCTCTGAAAACTCGTCCTCTGCTTGTGTCCTATGCCTCTTGCTTATATACTCCCTTCCTTGGCGGTTTGGTCCTTCCATTTCGCCCAAATTCGAGTTTATCGAGAATCTTCCATTTATCTTTATCTTTCCTTTTTTCCCGCGAAAATCTTCTATTTATCCTCAAACTTGACATTTATCTTCAAATTTTACATTTATCTTATTTCTGCGAGTAAATCGTCAAAACGTCGTCGTATCTTCGGGTTAGATTTCGTCAAAGTTGCAAGATAGGCTTTTTCGCGTTCTTGGACTTTCCGGACCAATTTGCGACAAAACCATTTTACGACTTTATACGAGATCGTTTTCTGATTCGATGCCGTTTTAAGTAAGTTTCTCGAGTTAATCGTAAAGTTTGGAAATGTTCCATGTTTCGGTCAATCGTTGCCATTTTCTATGATTCATTCGAAGTTTTATTAAAAACACGTTTTTTTTTTACGATTTTTCATGAAAAATCTCGAGTAAATCATATAGTTTAAGCAATGTTCGGTGTTTCGTTTAACCGTTGCCGTTTTACACGATTTCCTCGAGTTCTTTCGAGAAAACGAGACTTTACGGTTTTTATCGTGAAAGTCGAACGATAGGACGGATCGAGACGAAACGAGAGACATTTCGACCGTAGTTCAGAACATGATCGAGCCGAAGGATGTATGCCTTGAATCGAGGACGTGGGAGATCGAGGCTCGGGATAATCAGCTCGACGTACGACGAGCCAAACCGGATCGGTTCAGCTTGCCGTACGGCGAGCTAGTTTGGCCGAACCAGCTCACGATTTATGGCGGATGCGGTTTCTCGTGGTTTTGTGCTTAACTCGGGCGATCGTGTAATCGGCGTTTGTTTCGTTCTTCTGAGATAATGATTTCCAAGTTTTCCGTGGATTTCCTTTGTTTGGAAACTTCTTAGAATTTTATAAAACAACTTCTCAAGTTTTATAAAACGTATTTTTATTTTTTACGGATAGTTTTGGCCATTGATTCCGTCGTACCGATTTTGACCCCAACAAATATGGTGGTGAAGAGACACGTAAGAGTTCAGAGAGACGGCAGAAAAGAGATACAAGAGTTGAGAGAGATTAGAGGAGAAGAAACTCAATCGAAAGAGTCGAGAGAGTGAGAGATTAGAGACACTCGTTTGTTAAGATCCAGAAACTGAAAGAACAAAGAGAGAGAGAGAGAGGCTGAGATTAGGGTTTGTATTGAGAGAAGGAGAAATATATCTTAAACAAAAGAGAAAAAAAACTTGAGAGTCAATACAGAGTTTGGGAGGGAGAATTCGTTAAGTCCTTGCCGGGAAATGAAATAATTTTCCGCCTAAACTATACATAGCTTTTCAAGATTACAAAAGCTATATAAAATACACAGCTTAGAGTCCAAAAAATAAAATATAGCATGTACATTATAAAACATTATTTTAAATCAAGGATTATGTCAAAACTAGCATTCTCGACCAAAATGTTATCTTCTTATGCTATCTTTAACCCATTTCCTTGTAGTGACTCTCCCCGTAAAACTCGGATGGACAAATGGTTATGCATGTAATAGTTCGATAGATCTTTAAAATAATCATAAATCACAAATCATATGAAACCCTAACCATAAATAAAATGGCAACCCCAACTAATCATGAAAACTCTAATTTACCAGAGAGTTTCAAGCATGGGGGATAGGGCGACAACAGTCAGAGATTTCAGTGAGAGGAGACATGGACCGTGGAAGAGATAGAGATAGAGGAGCGCCGTGAGAGAGGAAGGCACAAAGAGAGATAAATATGGTGGTGAAGAGACTCATAAGAGATCAAAGAGATGGCAGAAACGAGATACAAGAGTCGAGAGAGATTAGAGGGGAAGAGACTCAATCGAAAGAGTCGAGAGATTATGTCACAACTAGCATTCTCGACCAAAATGTTATCTTCTTATAGTGACTCTCCCCGTAAAACTTGGATGGACAAATGGTTATGCATGTACGAAATTCTTAATGGATAGTCTCTTTCCGCAGCACACGACCACAACAAACGATTCTGCCTGCAACACTCTGAAACCTTTGATAAGCTTAAATCCTATAATCTGTAAGAAAATGCATCCTCTATTAATCGAAGCACATACATGATATAAAAACTTTGAAACCTTGACAAATATGCCACACTGCTTCTACAATCAGAATATTTATATATGTCCTGAGTATCTTTTAGTATTAACATAAGTAACAAGTTAGTGCATATCATCCATATAAATAGAATTTTAAAAAATAATTATAAAATATATAGAGATACTCTGGATTGTCTATAACTAACGGTTTTCTAGTATACTCCAAATGTAAGACATCTCTGAGAAACATTATAACATTTGAGGTAGTCATGTGTCATCACCACAATGATTCTTATAATTCTTAAATAAATAGATTGGCACATCTAAGTATATAGGGCTATTTGCAAATATAAATCAAAATTCAAAGTCATACACAAAACTAACCTATGATTTTTTTGGAATTTTCATTTGTCGTATTCACATCACAAGTTCAGATTATTCACAAAAATGTCATTTTTTGTTACTTTGTTTTTTTGAAAATGAGTATTTCACTCTCTCAACCTCATCTTCTTCAAGTATTTACAATATTGTCATTGCCATCAATACACCAACCACCATGAACAACAAATTTGAAGCTCTTAATGCACCTAAAATTGATTTACACTCCTTCTATCTCATTTCTTATGAACTAAAAACAAAATCACTTTCACTTTCTCTTTATATTCATCTAAAAACCCAAGATTATGATTCTAGTTTTTTAATGATTCATAGAACCATTCAGGCTTACGATTCTTGGTGGGTCGCTTTCGCTTAAGATTTTGTGTGCTTGGAGAAGACTTTTGTTTGCTAAAAAAGTTATCTCACTGGTTGAACCTATGAGATCATTTTTTTCCCATATCTGTCCACAGAAGTCTTCTGGTCAATGCTAAGGTTACTTTTTCAATTGAATTTTATATGTGTTTTTAGAGACGACTTCTTTGAAAGTATTCCAATTTTCTTTGTTAAAAATACCAGAGAAGACCTCCCGGCAAGTCGTCTAGGATAAAAATTTTAGTTTTGTATTTGACCGGATTGTGGCAGAAATTTGACTTTCCTGGACAATTTACTTGTAAGTCGTCCAGTAGCAAAATAAAACTTCAATATTTAATTATAATTAGACGACTTCCATGTAAATAGTTTCAGGTTAGTTTTGCAACTGAAAAAATAAAACTTAAATATTTAATTTTATCTAGACGACTTACACGGAAGGCTTCCCAAGGACGACTTACACAGAAGTCGTCTAGGATATTATTCTAAGATTCTGATCAAACCTTGGTTATTACAGGAGACTTCCGTGTAAGTCGTCAACCAGATGACTTCCGTGTAAGTCGTCCAAATAAAATTAAGTATTTTTTTGGACAAATTAAATATTTAAGTTTTAATTTTTAATTGAAAAAAAATAACCTGAAATGACTTACACGGAAGTCGTCTAACTAAAATTAAAAATTGAATTTTTATTTTCTGCTGGAAGACTTCCTTGTAAGTTGTCTGGAAAATCAAATTTCTAACACAATTCGGCTAAATGCAAAACTAACCTTCTTACCCTAGACGACTTACCGGGAAGTCTTTTCTAGTAATTTTGAAATATTTTTGTTAAAAAAAAGTAAGCAAATATTTACAAAGGAAGACTTCCAAAGAATTCTGTTGTAGAGTAACCTTCTCTCGAAATATTCCTTTGTAAAATTTCAATTGCAAAAATGACCTAAATTGACGACCTTCTATAAGTCTACCAGACAAATTTCTTGGAAGTTATCTGCGTCAATGTTTAAGAAACTTCTATTTTCTCTAAAACTATAAAAACGTTTTTAACACTTTCTTGTTAATTCATGTATATTAGTCAATATTAGGGCTACTGAATAAAATTAAGAAATTAATTAATGATATTTATGAAGTTGCCAACATTCATGTTTATGTAGTGTGTAAAGAATATTTACCATTTGGGTGAAATTTTTTGATTGATGAATCTTCGATAACCCCTCTAGTGTTACTACCAGTTGGATAGTTGCTATGTAACGGCGTCCATGGGGGAGTGTCTACCAGGTGATATCCATGTGCTGGTGTCCATGTAGTGGTTTCCATGGGGCAGTATCCGAAGGAATGCGAACGCGGTTAACATACTAAGGACATGTTAAAATGTTCAGTAATTTGCCTTGTTTGATTATTGACCACGAAATTGTTTCCACCTTGCGTATATGTGACAATCTGTCCACATTAAAATGTCCACACTATTATGTGAGTTGCTATCTATCCACAAGTTATAACTTGTACATCAAACTGTGTCCACATGGTCCATGAAATATTACTCCAGATTTCATTTAATTTTGCATCCGTAAAAATGTTGAGATATGCAACAAAAAAAAAGTTCACACTTAAGAAAG